CCAAGAAATTAATTTGCCCAAAATCACATCCAAAATGTTCACCGCCGTATAACAATCGCTTATCTAATTCCCCGAGTATATCTGACTAAAATGTTAGTCCTAGAATGTGGCCACCCCAAAGCATTGGCCTTGAAGGGCAAATTCCCCGACACAGTGTAGTCCTCAGGAAAATTTTACCTGAAAAATCTTCACCACGAACTGTTCTCCCTTTCCACAGGTGCAATCGTCTCTTCTCCTCAAAATTAACCCTTGAAAATACTAAATTGCCTAAATTCACCTATGGAAATTGCTCACGAGACATTCACTGTAATAAAAATTACTCTCCCTAAGACCCGGAATATTCGCCCAAATGGTCACCGCTAAAGAAATTTTCCATTTAAATATGGTCCACAGGCGTGGTGGCTCCGAAAAATCCCTCCCCTGCATATCATCGTCGGAAAAGTTCACTCCCCATAAAATTCGTCCACTGGCTAAATAAGCAATCCGCAATAAGCATAATTCGTAATAGTTTCTGCCTATTCAGGAATATACCTCTTTTCTATTCTTCCAAAAAACCTGCCCCGGAATAATCGCCTCAGTGCATTACACACCTAAATTAACAACAAAACTAAGTAAAACTACAATCAATAGGATTACAAATAATATTTTGCCCTCTGTGTAAAGGCTAGAATTCTAAAAATAATAATTTATTTTATCCTGAATTTAAAATGACTGCACGGAAAATTCCGAAAAGTTCAGAATACTCTACTCCCAAATAGTTGCCTTTAAGGATACTCGATCTGGGTATAATTTCTGTACCCTCCTCCGACTGTCATCATATTCTTTGCCTTTATTTTCAGGTTTTAGAGAAATCTGGTAAAACTTATGAAAAATCGTATACCACGTATCAGGTATTTTGAAATAAAACCTAAAAGATACCTAAATATCAAATTTTCAAAAGAAAGCAATAACTGAGCGGTTTTAAAAATGTCAAAATTTTAATTTTGATTTTTTCTTAAATTAATTGATACACCTGCGAAGTTTGTTTTCTGTTTCTACAGAAGCCATGTAAATCATTATAAAACTTCTTAAAATAGTGAATTTTATTTAGAGGTCAAAGATAGTAATAGCCTAGGTCTCGTCGTTTCCATGGAACAATATTGTATTCTGAACTTAATTTTATTTCGTGCTCGGCGTCCCATTTTTAACAAGACGGACAGATGTTATTAGAATTCACTATCATTTCTTTCACTTTATCTACCCTTGCGGTTAAAGTGACCACTTTATCTATTGTTGCTGTTAGAGAGTGACTTTGCCTACTCATTCAAACCTATTAAAATGTCAATTTAACACCTGCTACAAGGTAAATCAAAATTGTGTCGGTTGGAAACCACGGTTAACCCTTTCGATCATTATTTATTATGTGTAATTTTTGAAAAAAAATAGATTGCTTAGGCGCATTCCCAACTTTCTTATTTATGAGCGGTATTTTTTTTTAAATTTGAAGGGAAAGTGCTCCCTAAAAAAATAAATTAAACGTACATAAAAAAAATAGCCTGCGCATACGCAATCTATTGCAATAACACAGAATTTGAGAGGTGTTGTGGGAGAAATTGAAGTTGAGGTAAGTTGAACATGAGAATAAATTGAGAATATCCCAAAAAAATTGAAAAGAAACTGGAATTGAAAAACTAAACGCCACTTAGCACAATGCCCCTTCCGTCTGTCTTTCTTCCCGTCCATCCGTTTCTCAAATTACATTTTACTGAAAAGTGCTAGAAACCTGAAATTTTGGTTTGTTTGCAGTCATGGTTCATGCACAAGAACATACATCCTGCCTGTGACAATATCTATCACTGCAAAATAAATTATAATTATAAATTATCCTAATCCAGGGGCGGACTGGCACGGGGGGGCGGGTGGCGATTTCCACCTGGCCTGTGGATCATAATGGCCCGTTCGAAATTTATAAGTATGTGCTGTATTTAGTTTCTTGCACTATTAATAAATTATTAACACGTTTCTCTAATTGGGGTTGATGTTAGGTTGTTAAAAAATTTAAAAATTCTGTTTTAATTGAAGTGTTTTACAATGAATTTATCATTTTTTGTCGTAGCATGAAAGTGCTGAAATACAATGATAGGCGACGCACCTCGTAAGGATTGTATATTTTGATACTTTTAATTATCAGCTGCAATTTAAAAAAAACTGTATGGTAATTTATTTTCGAGAAAGGAGTACTTTAATAGTATATTGCAAGACAAGTGTTACAATGCGACCTATTGTAATACGACTATCTTGTGGCACGAGTGGCGACGCGAAGCGTAGCCACGAGTGCCCGCAAGATAGGAGTATTACAATAAAGCATTGTAACACGCGTTTTTCATACTATTTTTTCTATTTCGGTGCTTTAATTTAATTAAAAAAAATCATTATCAGAAACTATAGGGAACATTAGAACTAACATGTTTTATGTTGGGAACACTTTTTATGCCGTTAAGTTTTAAGTTGGCAGCGTAGTAAGACTGACATTTTGAAGTTCAAACATGGAAGTACCCAACGAAGTACCTACTTGTACTAACTAGTAACTGCCAACTTAAGAGATGAGTTCCCAAAAAAAAAACGACTATAATCACTGTCTTTGTACAACTGTTTTCGGCCGAAAACAGTTGTACAAAATCATCATTGTGACACCGAAATAGAAAAAATGTTTTTGTGGTGCACCTCAGAGCTAACCCCCCCCCCCCCCCCCCCCCCCCCCCCCCCGGCACCTTCATTACTACACTAATACTTTAATGGCCCGTAACCTATGCAATTCCACCTGGCCCGCAGTTACCCAGTCCGCCCCTGTCCTAATCCATATTTCTTTTGGTTAATTTTAAATTTTCATATGAATCAAGCGGCAAATTTGTCCCTTAACTAATAACACATGCACCAAAACCGGTATGGATATCGAAGGGTTTTGGCATTAGGCACATATTAATTCCGGTTTATGACTGTTAAAGGTAACAAATGTAAGCATTAATAAAAACAAGATGGGTGTGTAGTAAAAATATTTAAAATGTATTCACAACATTGTTACGAAAGATTTATAACTTATTTGTCTTGTTCTTAACATCACTGTGAGAAGTGCGACGGGGTGCAAATGCAATAGCCGTGCAACCACCTCAGCAACCACGTCGAGAAGTAACCAGAAAATCGTATTCACACATTGTCGTATTAGGACTGACATCTCCAAACATCTCTTTCATTAAAATGGCCATTATTTAGATTAATGTTATACCCCCAACTGCGGTTTAGAAATACATTGACTCCATTGCCAACTGCCAAGAACTGCTCGATGATAAAATACGCCACCTTTTTTTATTCTTAACTTGAATATAGTTGTGATATGTTTTGACTCCCTATCGTGATATAACAATACATTGAATGCCTCTCAATAGCTGGATGGCTTTTTTTTTAAACGCGTTGCACATTTTTAATGGTTTACTTCTGTTACAGCTGTCTCAATTTGAACTACAATGGCTGTTTTATAGGTTCGGTGGTTAAATGCTACGGTGTACATTGATGGGTCTACTGCTCGCGTCCGGACGCTCTACAAGCTCTGCAGACCGCCCTTTCCCTGTAAGATGAAATCACTTTTCGTGATGTCCTGATTACCTCGCTTCTATCGTATGTTATCCCGATTCGCTGACATCAGGTTCGACAGTTCATTGTTTGTGTAACATATTGGATTTCGGTACTTGAAGCGATATTCAAATTCCAACCCTCGCGAAAATTTCCCAACCGAGCCCATAAATAATCAAAGCGGGGCTCTTCTTTATTCATTAATTAATTGTAATAAACGCGATAAGGTAATATGTAACATAGAGTCCCGCATCTGGGTCCCGGAAAGCTCATTTCAATAACGTTTAAGAGGGTACGGCGGTAGTATATTTAAATGGATCCTCCCCGCAATAACAAACCGATATATCGCGCTCAATACAACATTAACAAATTGCACTTCACACTTAACAGCGTTTATTCCGGCATATGGGCTAAATATATGCATTAAATAAACTAGGGACATTAGTCACAGTCGTGGGCGGATCTCACAGATTGAACAGCATCAGCAGCAGCCCGAGAGGGTGCCGATACTACGAGAACTGCATACAAGACATATTAGCCGAAGGGGTTGGCAAATCTACATCGATGTTTATATTCCACAACATTCACGAAATATCCTAATCCCGCCATTATATTATTGAAAACTGGCTTAGAGTATTAAACTGTTAACGTTATTACTTTCGCATCTGTGTAACTATACGATCGCCCCGTTTAGGACTATTTTCGCTCGCACTTTAATTATAATTATCCCGATTGCCTTTCTACGAAACGTTCGGGTTTTGTCATAGTTTCCTTAAATCATCTATTCATACTAGTTTCCCCTGTATACTGTAGGATTTTCCACATACTAAGCCTTATACAATAAGTGAGTTGGAATAGATGAAAACAGAATGACAAAAATTTGCTACACATTTTCTAGCTACTTCCTGGACAGTTTTAGCTTAGTCTAACACTCTTGCATTTGTTTTTCGGGTAACACTGGTCGGATTATATTTACATTTTGTCAGTTATTCCATGAATCTGTCTAATTCTACTGATATTTTCTGTGCAAGAGAGATTTCTTACGCTACATACCTATCTGATCTCTTAATTTCTGCAATTTTTTACGTTTAAATAATCTATAACCAACAAATAATATTGAAGAAAAAAAATAATAGGGCACTAGCACATTGACAGACGTTTTTCGTTGTCTATTCGCTTGGTAGCATATATTATATTACCTATACCTATTTTTCCAAAAATTGCTAAAAAAGTTTTGATTGGTAAAGGCTGTCAATATGAAATATCAACTGTATTAGTAAATGTATTAATGACATATGGTTAATAATACACTTTTTTCTACGAAAGTGATGAAAGTCTTGTTTTCTGAGAAAAAAGTAGCCTTTGAAAGTAGGGTTTTGTCGCACTAGTGTGGAAAAATTTTTCCACACTTATTTTCCACACTCTTAAGTAAAAACAAAGATACCTTTTTTTTATTTTAATGCCACAATTTACAATTACAGCTACTTCTGGCTAGTAATATTTAAATTAATGGTAAATGATGAACAGTTACTTATATTAACACCTGGAAGTAACGAATTTGACACAGAGCATTTAGAAGTTATTAATGTAGATGTGGACGCTGTCGAAGATGTGCAACTTGCAAGGATCATCTGGTTGACATGTCGAAGGTGTGCAAGGATCATTTGATTGACAAGCATTACCAATTATTTTGTTACATACTTCTAATTTGCCTTGAAGAGAACCATCTACGTATCCTTCCGCTACCGTCGACGACCGCCAGCCCCCATGACGTTTAAGACTCAAAAGGTCTGCTCCAGCATTAGCAAGTAGCGTTGCGGAGGTACGCCGAAAACAATGACCCGTAAAACTAGAAGCATTTGGCAATTTCAGGTAACTCGCAATTTTCTTAGGAATTGCTCCAAATGTATTAATACCCACAGGTTGTACGGTACATTTTCCCATTTTATAATTTAAAAAAAGTCGCGAAGTTTGAGCATTTTGAGGACGAAGCGCTTTATATTTCTGGTACAAGTGTATCCAATTCTCTTTTCCCTCCGTAACAGAAAAAGTTCTTGGAACATGCGTTTTGGAGTCTGGAATCGTTACGAGTAAAAACGTATCTTCGCCTTGGATATCGTTCACCGTCATTTTCGTCAACTCCTCTCGACGACAAGCCCCAGCAACTCCTAATATTAGAGCAACCTACAAATAAATTTCATTATTTGTGTGACATATAACAAATGTATAGACATGAAAAAATAGTAGGTAAGTATAGGTGCTTACTTTCATCATTAAAAATGTTTCATCGGGTGCTTCCTCTAAAAACGTACCGATTTGTTGTCTCGTAAAAGTCAGCGATTTTTTCGGCTTTTACGTTTCAAAAACGATTGTAACTTGGCATACTTGGAAATGTCGACGTTGTCTTGCAAAATCAACATACTTTTCAACATGGAATACATTGACCACAGTGTCGATGATTTCTATTTTCCAGATTTTTCGACAAAATAGGCAAGCAACACGGTTTCTGTATACCGCTTGACTTGTTTCATTTTACACCAATTAAAAAACCTCTCTCGTTCTTTTTCGTACCGATTTCTCGATTTTTCAGGCAAAAGCTCAGGCATAATTGATTCCGCCATTGCAGCAACCTCAGGCGGAGTGCACATAAATTCATCGCCGCTCTCACTTTCTTCATGAACACTCATTTTCAGCTTTTAAATTCTTGTTTTACTGAAGAAATTGCTTCGTACAAAACTACATGCAAAATTACTAACCGGCTTTTTTATAAACAACTCGTTGGTAACTAAGACAACGTAGCGGCGTCACGAAGACTTGATTTTATATTTTTACAGATAAACACGAGAATCGTACTACGACTTGATTTATACAGAAATTGTTGTTTTAACATTTTGATATAAAATTTTTCTCTAAATCTTTAAATTCGAGAACTTTCGTAGAAAAAATAGTATGTAATACACTTGCGGAAAGGATTATTAAAAAACTTGTATGATTGGAGCACGAGCGTTGTGCTTCAACTTTCATACGCGTTTTTCAATAAAGCCCTTTCCGCACTTGTATTACAATATACTATTTTATTATACCTGAATCACAATCTCCGTTTTAAACACTCAAATGCGTGCGAAAAAAGGCCTTTAAAACACACGTGCTTTAAAGTTGCTAAGTAACGATACTTCAAGTATGACTTTTGAAACTGTCATCTGGGGCTGAAATAAAAAATCCTCTTAGGTCGCTTTCTGTAAATGCAGAACATTTCTTTGGCTTGTACCTATCCTTTGGTTGAAGGTTTCACAAACGCGCGTAATTTAGGGTATGCTTCCAAATCTGTTCCACTTTTAATCGCAGCATTGTTTGAAGTTTTGAGTTAATGCACCAAAAGATAGGAGATTTAAATACCTTTGACATTTCCTTCATATATCCCAGCATTATAGATGCATTTAAGACTTTATTCGTAAGTAACTTCCTTTTCATCCATGGAAAGAACTTTTCATATTCTTTATAATAGGCTTTACTAGATTTGGATTTTACACCTACCAACGTTTGTTTAGATTTTACAACAAGCGATTTAATGGACGGTGTATTATCTTTTTCAACGGAAATCGTTTTATTCACAAAGACGACGATTTTTATAAGCAAACGTCAAGTGACATTTCCATGGCAATCGTGAAATTTCGAACACCCAGCCCACTTAATTAAACATGTATTCGAGTATAACGTCAATATGATTTCATTGTATTTCCTATTTTTAAATTATACTGCAGGTATAATAAAAAATACTATAAGATACACGTGTATAATTGGTCTTTAAAGCACTTGCAACGTTAAAGGCACTCCGCTTTGCGTCGTGCCCTTAAACTCGTTGCGCGTGCTTTAAAGACTTGATTATACGCTTGTATCTTAATATACTATTTTTGTTGTGATGTCAAAATTTGAAAAATTAAAAATAGAACTAACCGTTGTTTCTCGTAGCCAAATGCGTCCAGAAACTTACCGTTTGCCGACCAAGGGCGGGAAAAACATCACTAAAAATTGGTTGGTAGAATTGATTGAATTGTTAGAATGCCCAATTAATATTTCACCGTCGGCATATTTCTGGTGTAAATTCAATTTTAAGCACACTATGACTTGGTAACATAATAATAACTATAAATGCAGTAAGCCGTCACCAAGAAACGTGTAGCTCGATGTTTTAGTGCATTATGACACTTGTACAAGATACAGATGGTAAAATTAGTGTTTATGGCAAGAAAGAGATAGCTAACTGAAAGTGTAGGAAATAGAAATGAACTTATATATACTACCAAATTGCAAAAAGGAATACCAAAGATCGTTTCCCACAAACTAACACAAAAAAAACACAGATCTCCGCACTCGTAGGAGATACACCGATGGTTAAATTAGGGAAAAAAGCCCTTCTTATTCTTACGTTTCGATTGAACAAGGCGGTTTTGAGTTTACTCACTTTGCACAATAAATGAATTACTAGTAAAAAGTATTGGTAATAAACACAAACAAAGGTAAGAAACTTTTATAGTGTGTACCCAATATTTTACGTCTTTAGATTATGTTGAAACGGGTGTTGAAATAATCTATAAGCAACCCTGCAAATTAACAAATAGATTAGATGTGACAGACAGATAAAGACGACTGCTCCGAAGTGTGACGAAGATCATAAGTAAGATCCGTATTTTTACCCATCTTATTTTCCTAAGCAAACTTCGCGATGCAACCGGAACAGACAGATCTGGAAGAGGGGTTCTTGATCTTGATGCTGTTATGAATAATGGAACAACCGTATCTCAAATACCAGATACTAAACATCCGAAGCAAAAATGCCCTGACATCATGTTCATTAAATGTGATCCGCTACCTGCCATTGTCAATATTGACGTTAGTGTTAAACATATCGAGAAAGTATCCCGTTCACTGAGAGGTGGTGCCGATCCCAGTGACACTGATGGGGATCAATGGAGTATGTGGATTTCATAGTTCACATTTGAGGGATGCTATTGTGTCTTTGCAAAATCGTTTTTAGTTTTTACTCAAGTTATTTAAAAAGATAATTCGAAATAAAGGACACATTATTATGGCCACTTTTTTCCCTTTACAAGAGACTACTTTTAAATTAGAAGTTTGACATTTCGTCTCCAGTTAACCATTATCAACATGGTTTTTTTTCTTATGGAAGTCATTTTACCTTCTACCTATACAGTTCCCGACATCCCCATGGTGACTCTCGAATTTGAATCAGCCTATATATATGTCCAACAAACATAATCCAATTATGGGACAATTCAGTGTATAATAACTGATTACAATTATGGTGTAAGTAATACAAATGAAATACATTTTTAAAAAGATGGAAACTAATATGGAAATGCAAAAACATTATAAAAAAAGCAAATAAAATATAGCATTAAAGGTCGCTAACTACATACAATTAAATACTAAGACAGCTAATTATATCTCATATATTGTATATAATTAAATATATCATATAATTAATGTCGGTGGAATTTGGCAAGGTATGTAAAATCCATATAAATTATAACACCAAAAAAAAAAGTATTACGTGAATGATACAATGGAACATGAAAGCAAATCAATGACAATATTATACAAGGACAATCAACAGTCGTGTAATAGTTTATATAGAAACACGATAGGTGTCTCACATCTCCTGATTTCCAAAGATTTACAATTAAAACGCCACAGTAACGTCTGATGTTCAAACCCTCTGGGGAGGATAATGGCAATCTACTTTAAACGCTAAACATTTTGAAAACTTGCGCTGTACGCGCTCCAGTCTATCCTTGAGGTTTCTTTAAACAGGACTCCAAACCAATGCCCCATATTCCACTTTAGAGCTTACTAGGCAATGGCACAGGCACTTCAATGTGTTTATATTTTTGAATGATTCGCAAACTTAAAATAGATCCAAATGTAGAAACCGCAGATTTTTTCAATATGTTGTGTCAACTTTAGCTCGCTAACAAAGTGTATACCCAAATCTTTCATATTTAGTCCAGTCAAATTAGACAAAATAAGGGCCAAACCCGGAAATTTGAAAAAACAAGCTGAAAATTGGCATACATGTTCAGGATAGTGCCATAACCAATTTCCGAAAAGTCACAAAAGATCCCGGTTGGGGAACGGACGCCATCTTGAAAAAACTACCCCTAAACTCGATTTCTCGAGTTTTGAGCAAAGCTAATGAACCAATGGTCTCATTCTCGTTGCTAAGGTGTCAAAATGTTTGTTTTAATGTGTATTTTGAGTAAAAACATAATTCGGCACATAAAGAAGCCCTTGGAAATTCGAACTTTTTAGGAAAATCACCCCCAACCTGGATTTTTCACGTTTTCGGCATTTGTTGTTTTGTTTGCGTAATCCTAGGATTGGTTGGACGAAGTCCTCCACCTTTTCCTATCCTGCGCTAATCTTTTCAGTTCTACATAACTACCCTTACCTACGTCCCTAACTATTTGGTCTATGTGTTTAAGTATCTGTGGTTCTTGCTTGTCCTCTCTGGTCCGGTCTTGCCCTCTGTCCTACCCCTTCTATAGCTAGTAGTGCTATTCCTCCGTTCGCTTCATCTTCTCTGTACGGTTTTCAACATTTCCCTATTTCCTGTACTAGCTCCAAGACTGCTTCGTTTGTTACCCTATCCATCCAGCTGATCCTCATTCCATCCTACTATCCTATCGTCCAGGTTTCGCACCTGTATGACCTACACTCCATTTGTACGTTTTTTAGCAATCTTTTCCTAATTCCTATATTTATCTCGGATCTTAGCAGGTCCCACTTTTATTCCAATGCTTTTTTAGCCTGCGCTATCCTGGATTTTATATCTTCCTTGCAACGATTATCTTGTGTAACCTTACTACCTAAATAGCAAAAGGAACGGTTATCTTAGAAAGTGTTCATTTATGTAATACGGAAACTGGTTTCCTCATCGGCAGCTAAAGGGGCGCTAGAAGTTAAATCACCTTCTGTTTCCAATTCCTAAAAGAAATAAATACATCTGGAAGCTACGGTTTCTTAGTAACGAATGTGCGAATAGTTGAAAGGATTCCGCTTATTTACATTAATTGTAAAATGCATTTAAATATTTTTTACGTGCAACTTAACCTGAATGCAAATAATAATGAAAAATATAATGAATAAAATAGTGTTCATTTAGTTAGTACTCTCAATCTTGTTCTGAACTCTGAAGGTTTTAACAGAAATTTTGACATTCAGATAGAGAACGTCAAGAAGAACGATTAGAAACATCAATACCAATTATCCGAAGCTTTATTTAACAACAATAGCCGGAAAAGAGAGCAACCCA